CACTTGTGTCTATAAGGACTTTCTGATTGCCAAACACACACACACACACACACACACACACACACACACACACACACACACACACAAATGACATGGAAGAGGAGGGAGGAGACAACGATGTGCAGAAGGAAGAAGGTGAGTGAGCCAGAGACAGTGTTTGAACGCTTAAACACAAACGCAACAACCTGAGACCAGAGTAGGGGGAGTTGGTGGGTCGACAAAGGAAGGGCAAAGAAATAAACAGAGACAGACTGATATTAGAGAAATAGTGCAACAAAGTAAAGCGAGAGACCTCTTGAGTCTGGGAGCATCGGAGAAAGGACAGGGCGAGGAGAGCAGGAGTGAGGGAAGAGAAAATGGTGAGACAGCAAAGGAGGAAAGATTTAAGAAGAAGAGAGACAGCGGAGCAGCAGTGCTTTCAGGAGTACGGCTGTGGAACTCCATATCCCGGTCTGTACATGGGTCTCCCTGTTGCTGACTGAGAATTGGAATAGGCTGGCCCAGATGGGTAGCTGTAGCCCCCGTAGCTGTAGGAGGCCGGGTAGGGCGCAGGGCCACTCTGAGCGTGGCTCGGGGTGTACTGGCCAAATGCTGAGCCCGGATGTGGCGAAGGAAAGGAGGGCTGGGCCGGGTAAGGGCAGCTGGCCGAAGCTGGGGGCCCAAAAGGGGGGCTAGGGCCAGAGTAGCTCCCTGCCGGAGGGAAAGCTGAAGTGGGACCTGGGTAAGGAGGGAACTGTGACGGGGCATTGGCTGGAACAGAACCTGCTGCTGCCACTACAGCAGGAGGAGTAGGGCCCGACACGGGGTACGGACTGTAGGGGAGCCCAGATGAGCCCCCTGCAGACGAGGACACGGGCTGAGAGGCGTTCTGAGGTTTGGAACTCGGCTGCTGTTGATTCGTCGTCGTTGCTGTTGTTGTCTGTTGATCCCACGGTGACAGCGGGGTGGCAGAGTCCTCTTTCAGGCATGCTGACGACGTCATGGCGGTGGCATTGCCCTCGCTCCTCTGTCGCAGGATTTCTTGGAGTTTCTCTATCCGTACGCGTCTTTTGTGAGCGAGTGAGCGCAGGGAGAGGAATCGGTCGAGGAAGGAGTCCAGCGGAAGAGATCCCTCCAGAAACTCATCTGCTAGAGCCTGCGGGACGAGACAGGTAAGACAAATGAGCGGTGCTTACTGCTGAGCAGGTATCAAACTACCTCTAAGGTCAAATTACTTGTAGTAGCCACAGACTAATGATGTGCTGCGGGGTGGGACCCACTGCTTCACAACCTGCACAATGTGACAGCACCCTGAAAACAAGCCCACAGCCTGCCACAGCCCAGATAAACAGCAGCCGCTGTTAAAGGAAGTGCAAAATCCTTCAAAGTAAAAGCATTTCTAGTTCGGATAGGTCTGCACTGCTGAGCTGCCCAACTAGATAACACAGTGTGCCCAGGGGCGCACTTAGTCCAGCTAGTCTTTAGTTGAATTTCCTGATGAATGAAGCAACTAATCCAAAACACAGCACGGAGACACGAGCTGTTCGGGCGACTGGACGAATATACCGACTATCGCCGATAGGCTGAGCCCATGAGTAGGTTTGCTAATAATAATGTAGGTAATAGAAGCAGTCAACAGAAATGCAAATAATAGCGCTGTTTTAACAACACCCTCTTTCATCTGCGATGCCCCTCCTCACAGGGCACTCAGATGCTTGTTGGAGCTGCAGAAGCTGGTGACAGCCTAACACACTCAGCTGGATGGTGGACGCGTGCATGCTCCTCTAAGTTAGTCGTGTTTGAGGACTTTGCTCACACTATACGTCTGCACGAGTGACACACCGCTGTGGTTACATCCTTAGGTTTACCTTTTTCATCCCAAATTGGTGATTGGCGAGTCAATGAGGGGTCATCACGACAAACACGATTGCATGACAGACAGTCAAAATCTCTGAAATGTCTCTGTCAGCGTATTTTGGGCAGTTTGTCCAAAGTTCGTTCGTTCTGCGCTCCAGATTTTAATGGCGTTAATCACGTTAATGCAGCGTTAACGCTGACAGCCATAATTGTTTTTGGAAATGAGTTCGTCCATGTTTGGACTTCTGTGTTGTAAACACGCAAATCAGTCCGTGCATAATTACATTGCTCCGCCCATCACAAAGCCTGCGCATGCGTAAATATATCGCCCAACCCTAGTGTCCACCATGCTGTCACAAACAGGTGGGTCGCATATTTACAGGCATCAGTGAGTGTGGCTGAGTAAAGAGGAGGAGCAGAGTCATCAGGAGGTCACGTGGACCCTCACGCTCGCTGCCTGATGGTGACGTTTACGTCAGTCACATCTGACTGGAGCATAGTGAGCTCGTGGGAAGTAGAATCCCAGCTCACCCATCCATCGCTGCTTTTCAGGGGGTGGGTACCATAGGCAGCAGCTCAGACGCTCTTCCACGGGGACAACAAAGCGTTCCCAGCTTTTGTCTGATCACTTCAGTGAAAGCTGACCACATCCTGACACCTGTGGCTGCAGCTCAGCTGGCAGAGCAGGTCACCTACTAACCAGATGGTTGGTGGTTTGATCCCAGTCTGCATGCCAAATATCCTCGGGCAAGAAACTAACTCCACGTTGCTTTCTGATGCATCCATCGGAGTGTGAATGTGTCCATAACTTTTTATGAAGAGAAACTAACTTTACACTGGCGTAGACGTTCACAGGCTGAGACCTTCTGAACCAAAGACATCATCTGATGGTGATTTGTGTGATTCCAAAACCTGCATTGATGTGTCAGCATTAATGGGCTCTTCACTCAGGAGCAAATTCACCGTACCATGTGCACTAACGCACAGCCAATCATGGCTACAGAATGCATCGTGTAATGATATCATACCAGGTTGTCTGTCTGCTCCATCTCAGAGATGGCGGCATCAAAAATCATTTTGATTGGTCAGACCACAGAACAGTCCAGTTAATCTGAAACAGCCTCAAAAATCCAACTTAAAACTCAGTGTTTCATCGAATGGTACATGCATTAGTGGGTGAAGCAGGAAACGCTGCTCCTGAGCCCACACACTGACTTCCACCACGCTGTCATGTCTGCATGCATGCAGAGACTCATAGGAAACAACACATCCCATCTTCAGGAAACTCTTTAATCTATTCGTGATCGTCGGCGTTTAGAACCCAACTTTAAACTGTTGCCTTTCGCTCATATTACCTGAACATGCTGAGCCCACGTTAAAAACATTGACGCGTCTGCCTTTACGTTAAACGATGCACCTGCAACATGTTTGACAGTCGAACACTGACCTCTGACTCTTCTTCTGTTTTGCTGCCCTCTGTCTGTAGTCTTGAGAACAGCGCTTCTGGAGACACCTGACCTGCCATGCCATCTGAGGGGAGCAAGAGTTAGAAAGAGACCGAGTATGAGCCTGGGCGTGTCTGATGATGGAAACATTAAACGCTCAGACTGATGAGAGCTGTGGACTCACATTATTATAATGGATTAAAAACACAGGCAAACTGAGAGGCATGCTGGGAAATTCCCACCTGTGTGTCCCACAAATAGACTTTACCTGGGTGGGCTGCACAGGTAAAAGTCCAGCTGCTAAGGACAGAGATTCTGCAGACTGTTTCCAAACGAACGTTCAATAACGGTGCTGAAGTGCACACTTTCAGCTTTGAATCAAGAGGGTTTATACACATTCTGAACGAACCATTTTACACACAGTGCCTCGCTCACTCTGGCTCGGTGGCTGTACACAGACTCAATACTGCCATGGTCCCCTCATGTATCGATCCATCTATCTGGCAGCTCCACCTGCACAGCGGTGGAGGAAGAACTACGACTCACTGCAACACTGCACATTCATCTGGTGCCAGTTTATTAGGATTTGTATGTATTGGGCACATAAAGACTCAGCTCTCTGAAGCTGGCGCTCCCTCTGTTTTTAAACACAGACACAGATAACCATGTACTGTCGCACAATGAGCCACTGTCAAATCACCAGCTAACCTGCCAAGCAGGTTTTTCAACAGGTTCGAACTGGGAACCTTCCTTCACTGAGGTGACTGTTTATTACCGACTCACTCTTGAAACTCCGTCTGACTATCAGGTCCATGAGGTTCGTCCCACCCAGTCTTAGTTTGGCCCATGGTACATGGCTGGCGTTTATATGGTGTTTTTCACTCTCACCTAACACTTCAAGGACATTTGAACTTTGAGCTGCATCCATGAACACATTTAACAGTCTCACATGCAAACCTAGATGGATGCATGAAAGAGTACCTGGGGTATCTTCTCCAAAGGCACTTCAAACATACAGATGCAGAAGAGAAATAATAAAATCCTGAGTCACATAAAGGCTTTCAGGGGCCACGGTGAGGGATGGGTCCAGTGCCCACACTGTGTGTACTACTACCACACCCAGGGCACTGGCACTGCCAGCCTCATACTAGGAGCACCTGTGGTATAAATGTGAAACTCTTTTCAGAAAGGCTGACCTCTCATTTTGAGGTCAAGGTCACCGGGATTCAGAGTCATCTGAGACTTTCATTTTAGTAGATGTCAAACTCACTTTACATCATCGCCTGACCCCGACCAGTGACACTCCCCTTTGTGCGTTTAACTACACATTAAATGATAAAGAAACGCTGCTGTAGTAAATGATGCACGGCTCTGACATTTTCAGAAATAAATGTGTAAAATGACACCAAGTGTACCTATGTAAAAAAAGAAAGTCCTATAACAGACGGAAAAATAGGAGCAGTTTGACAACAACACCCCATCAGGTGAAAAACAAAGAAACGCTTCTGAGTGACACTTCAGGTCACTTACTAACCAGAAGGTCGGTAGTTCGATCGCTGCCTCCTGCAGTCTGCACGCCAAGATACTCAACCAGGTTCAAGTTCATCCATCAGAGTGTGAGTGTGTGTGAATGTTGTAGTAAGAGCTCAGAGAGAGTAGAAGAGTGCTGTACGTGAATCAGTCCAGTTCCCATTTCAGACATTTATAGTCAACGTCCAAAAAGACAAATCTACTTGGGGCGATCGTGGCTCAAGAGTTGGGAGTTCGTCTTGTAATTGGAAGGTTGCCGGTTCGAGCCCCGGCTTGAACAGTCTCGGTCGTTGTGTCCTTGGGCAAGACACTTCACCCGTTGCCTACTGGTGGTGGTCAGAGGGCCCGGTGGCGCCAGTGTCCGGCAGCCTCGCCTCTGTCAGTGCGCCCCAGGGTGGCTGTGGCTACAATGCAGCTGCCATCACCAGTGTGTGAATGTGTGGATGACTGGATATGTAAAGCGCTTTGGGGTCCTTAGGGACTAGAAAAGCACTATATAAATACAGGCCATTTACCATTTTACTTTAACCTTTTTTGACAATCAGTGGCTTTTATGTGATCATCGCACGTGATGAAAACTCACTCAGTGAGTCAGGTGCAGTCAGTAGTGTGCAGTGTTCATCCCTCCCCCTACCTTTCAGGGAGCAGTGCTGTCTATAGGTTTCTCTGACTGCCTCTAGTTGAGAATATCTCTCCACCAGCAGCTCCTTCTGCGACTCCAAGCGAGGCTTCATGTCCAGGTTTTGCTCAGCCAGGCTGCGATTTGATGCCAAAGCCATTTCTCTCTCCAGCTGGATGTTCTGGATCTGAAACAAAAGCATGTGATGCAATGGGAATTATAACTTTAAGTGTCGGCATCAAACACGTGTCTGTGTAGATCCTTCAGTGTGTCTGCATCACCACATATACAAGTACTGAAATGTGGCGTTTAGTAAGCCTCAGCAGTCTTCTCTAAAAGACCGAACGATGGACTGACTTGGTGTAAGGATGTCAGCAGATTCTCCTCGTGTAGAACATAGAGTCATATCAAAAGCACTACTGCAACCACAGCGACTAACACAGGAGCCTCGTGTGTGCTGCAAACGAGCCGGATTCTCCATCTTGCTCTTGGCGTGTAAAATAACTGCAGTAAATAAGTTTGTTAGGCTGACATAAGTGTGTGCGTGTCCTGTTCCTGTACTGTGAGTACGCGTCACAGCTGAGGCATATCTTTACAGTTTTAACACGAGCCTGTGTCTTTGTGTGTACAGCCCTGCGATGTGAAACAGCTGAACAACATTCCTAACGCTGCGTTCAGTCAAGTCAAGACCAGGATCCGGCCCTGGACTGGACTTTGGTGGCATCAGTGGGACAGCTCTGCTGTCTGTCCGCTCTCTGCACAGCTCATCAGTTTTATCTGACTGCTGTTTTTCATGCGTGAGTACATAATGTTTATTATTTTGTGACGCACATATACAGCTATGGGGACATTTTTTCCACGATTACGACCCCAAAAACATCACACGACTTTCACAACAGTCTTAATATGAGACGACTAGAACTCAAAGGAAACTGTGTCGCAGCGTCATTATTTACTGACTCAATATTACACATTCGTCAGTGGAAAACGTCTGTTGGCCTCTGGGATTAGCAGCATGTTTGAAAGTGTCACTGCAGTCAGGCTGGCATAAAGAGTTGCCCAAAAAGCCTTCACCTCATTTCTTTCCATTTTGCTTCCACGCAGTCAGACGCGTCATTTTCAAAGTGAGCAACAGTTCTCAGGCTTTTCTTTGGACACTGGCTGTTTTCAGTACTTGTACCTGATCATGTTCAGGGGAATGTTATTTGGTTTGTTAAGCCACCTAACTCTGACCTATAAATCACTCAAGCAGAAAAATCGGCTCACTCAAGGGATGAACCAGTATTGTGTCTGCACACAACAGGCAGCTTAGCAAAGTTAGAAATGTCATCTTCAGGCACTTTGTTGCTAGCAGCATGCCACAAAGCACGTCATTTCTTCCCATTCCTCCCAGTTGAAGTTATGAAAACTTAACACAGCGTGACAACCGACAAAGTGACTCTCTACAAGCTTTAACCTGAAACCCTGCTCTGTCTTGGTGTGCACTCAGTCCTTAAAAATCGGATTAAACTGGATGACAAATGAAGAAATGGCAGATAAACCACTGATACTCCTCTCACAGGTGACTGTGTTGTCTCTGTTCACCTTGAGTAGCTCAGGTTTCTGCAAGCTTGTGTCAAATCAGCAGTTCAATGTCAGTATCTAACCTAATGATTTCAGGAGATCTGCCATCATTTGAAATCATCAGAACACTTTCACAAAACAAAACACCTGAAGTATTCTGGACTCAGTTTGAACCAGCTCAGAGATAAGGGGACATGAGTCAGTCATTTGAAATAGGAGGTGATGAAGGACACGAAGTTCCTCGGAACAACTCAACAATTTTGCATGACTGCAAACAAAGCAAAGGTTACAGGGACAAAGGCAAATCCCTATTTGCTCACTTCTAGGACAATTATAATAACTCCTAACTTTATTATTTTGAAGAAGAAAAGTACCACACAACTACTGAACATTTAAAACTAAAATGCTTCCCACTGACCGCCTCGTCTTTGTCACTTTTCACTGAGCTGATGTAACCTTGGCAGAAAGACTTTATAGACCGTTTGAGATTTAAATTAGAAACCGGTTGTAGGGTCACTGCAATGCCACATAATCAAACTCCTGACTTCTCATTAAGGGAATTTAATCGGCGTTTCGACAAAGGGGAAGAAGAATGAAGCACCAGTTTCACCTCATCGGACTCCAGAGCCATCGATTCCACCCTCTCCGGACTGTCCAGGAGCTCCTGTAGCTCTGATTGGCTGAGGTCCTGAAGCTTCTCCATTTGATTTGCCAGGATGGCTGTCCAACATAAACAAATCAGGAAAGAGACATTAGAAACGCTCGTTAGAGACAGAAAGTTGACATTTACAATCTCCGAGCAGCCATGAGCCGCTCTGAGGCAGCCCGGAAAATCAAGAAAACACCAACCACGTCCCTCGCTGCTGTTCCCTAAAGAAAGTCACCACGATGTAGGCGATATATGAAAACTGCACTTAGTTATTTTCCCGCAATATGCCATTAGACAAATTATAATACAACAAATTAGCCAATGACGGCTAACAGCTAGCTAGCATAATAAAAGCGCAGTACAAACATATGGAGGCAAGTGACTGTAGGCCCCAAAACACAACAAGCTGTCTGGGCGCACAGTGAAGCGAGAACACGGGTGAAAATGAGCCGGTACTTACACGACGCTAGCAAACCAAATTCAGTGCGGCACAGAGTGGCGGTGACATCCAACAGCACCTATTTATTCCAACTGACAGGTGACGTGACACGTCCTCGGGATCTGTAATCTGCCCCGGCTCGATCCACACACACAAACACCAACCGCTTTGTTTCCGACGCCCTTTGGCCGCAAAGCTATCTACTGCTAATCGACCGACGTCCAATCTCACCTGACGGCTCGGCGCTAAGCGATACGATGACAACAGTCGCTATGATCGCAATGTCAGGCACTCAGCTACCGTCAACTTCGAAGGAAGCTCAGCGATTTGGTGCTCAAAACCGGAGCTTAGAGTCACCCCCTCAGTCCTGACGACGACTGTCAAACGCCGGTGTCTTCCGAAGATGCCTACTTTAATAAACACTCGACTACAGTCGACAAAATGCTAGAATGGAGGAAGAATTTCGCTGGAAATAGGAAAGTTTCACTCCACACTGACAGAAACCGCCGCCATTTTTGGAAGCCTACACGAATTGCGGGTGGTATTCGGACAAATCCCGAACATTCTGAATACAGCGCTCGTGAACTTTAATTACATCGACGTTTGTATGTATAAATGCTTCCCGATAATTATTATTTCTGGGCACACTTGGATGTAATTATTTTAACTGTGTCCGTTTTCCCTAGTGTGTCCCCCATAAGGCAGGGTAATGGTACAGTCCGGTGCTCAGCTGATATAAGGGAAACCCCTGCGTGACGGTAATGTTCCGTCCTCTGCTGTGATGTCCACTTTCCGCAGCGGCAAAAACACCACTGAATCCATAAAAGCGAGCTCTCACGTATTTGGCTCGTATTGCAGGCGGGTTTGTGAGCAGTAATAGCTATTAATACTAATAATAACGTATTGTAGTACTTTTTCGAGACTTGTCTTCAAATGTTATGTTTTCCTAACTCAGTGGTTCCCAAACTTTTTTGCCAGGCCCCCCTTTGTTTTACAAGAAAAATGTTCACGCCACCCCCGCGCGCGCACATGCACGCGCAAACACACACACGCCCATATTTTGCTCCATTGCGGTTTATTTCACACCTCAAACATTTAGGAAACAATTAACTAAATACAGGTAATCTGCAGGTAGTAATAAAATAAACTACTAACTCTTTTACGCTGCGTCCGCACCTACACGGGTGATTTTGAAAACGTAAACGGCGTTTCGAATCACCGAAAACGGAGATTTTTTTAAAACTCATTTTTTGCGTTTTACATGTGGACGAGGAATACAGAGTTCGTCATGCAACTGCAAGACTCAGCAGTCCATCTGCATCTAAAGGTCAAAGGTCACTCTTTCGAGGATGCCAATGTTCACATTTTGGACAGAGAGGACAGATGGTTTGAAAGAGGAGTGAAAGAAGCATCTATGTCCACTGTGAGCGACCATCTTTGAACAGAGGCGGGGTTTACGACACCAACTGTCTGCCATCTATAATCCAGTGTTGAGATCCTCCCCAGACGCCTTAACGCCCACTCACATCCTGGGCCATCTGACCTCAGGAAATCACATGATAGGGTGGGGCCAGGTTTCACAATGAGCTCACCTGAAACTCTGGCTGATTGGGACCCACACCCAGTTTCACACCTTGGCTCAGGCGATTAGAGGATCATCAGGGGTCCTTTTGTCCCTCTGTGGGGGGAAACTCCCACTGGGTTTATATCTGGGGCTCTCCACCATTTGAGCTTAGAACTGAAGAAGCTTCTCAGATGAGAGGTGAAACGTCTTCAAGCAACATCTTCATTTGCATTTCTGAAACTATTTGTTGAACACTGAACTTACCAAAAGAAAAAAAACAGACTGAACATACCTTCTTAAATAAAACCAAATAAAACCTAATTAGAATGACTAATTGAACTCAATGCCACTTTTGTCCTTCTTTGTTAGGCACAAGCCAAAATGTCCCATCCCACCACATCCCAAACACATGCTCTGTTACTGGTTGACAGCTGATATTTTGCTGTGTGGTTAGCTTTACAGAAACCCTCCCTTCTACACATTGGTGAGTGAAACTGTAGGTTTCTATGTTACTCGGCAGTAATTAGCACGATTCTGTGTCCACACAGTTTAATGATATTCAACTTAAATGAATTATGTTGAACTGAGAAAACACTGGGTGACAATGGGAAGGGAAAAGTTTGTTTTAACAGGAAGAATAACTTTGGACACATTAAATAAAATGTAAAGAGGAAAACTGCAAAACCATCCCCTTAAGTAACAGCAGTGACACAGTGCACACGTTATTTCCTCTGGAATCAGAGATAAGCTTGTTGAAAGTGTCAGTGTTATTAATGTTACAACACTAATGCTGAAGTATTGCGCATTCTTGATTTTGCAGGGATATAATAACCTGAGCTCTTTCCCTGTGGATGATGAGAGTTTTTGTAACCATGGTTACTCATTGTCACGCACACCCGTGTACAGCACTCTGAGCAGCTGCATGATTTCAGGTTTACACCATCACAGATGTGTTCGCCTGTCCCTCTGACCTTCTGTCGTACTTCATTAGGAATGAATAAACAACTTCGAAGCACTGAGAGCCTCTGATTCACTTACACAAGTTTGCATTAGAGCCAGAGGCAGCTCCGTCTCACCTCACGTTTGTCTTTCTCGTTTACTTTTTTAAATAATTCTTATAACCACTGTTGAAGTCTTTTAGCTACCTAATCACCACCAAATCAGCCGGCTTTGCAGCACAGCTGCCGGAGTCCTGCACAGTGTTGAACCCAGTTTGTCACCACTCACAGTTTACAACAGTAAACATATAACATAAAGCTCACAGTTATACTCAGCTGGTATTGATTTCTTTGATTAGGGTAGTTTGGTGAGACAGAGATGGAAGTGTTTCAAATGTGACTTTGCCCGTGATAACCAGAGATAAATGGATTCTGTCCTTTGATAAAGACCTGGGGCTATTCAGAAAGTTTCCTGTGGCTAAAGACGTGCTGATTCAAAGGATAACCTTCACTCACTGGTAACACTGGAGTGTAAAAAGTTAATCCTGTCTGTAAAACCAGTTTTGCAACGTTCTACCACAAAACTGTACAGGTTACTCTACACACAGCTGGCAGATGTAAAGGAAAAGAGCATCAGTGCTTGTGCAGCCTAACTGCTAATCCCTGGGTAACTTCAGAAGATCAAGCCACTTCCAACATAATGGATTAAAGTAGAAATACATCCATCTTTTAACAGCCTATCCAGTACGTGCTTATGAAATTGCAGACACGGTTTCACATAAAGCTGCAGAAGTAAAATATAAATTAGTAACAATACACTAAATGTTTACTCTACAGGAATACATGCAGGGAAATTCTAGTTCAAAGTAAAGTGTAAATATGAAGGATTTTTCTGTATTATTTTATGTGTACTTTCCTGCAGTGAAAGCTACTGCGACATCATCTATTAGTCCTGTTTTAAGGGAAGGATATGACGAAGAGGGCGGGTCTGACTGAAACTGTTTGCCCATTTCCTGATGACCTGTCAATCATAAATCGTCAGTCTAGATTAGATTAGATGAAACTTTATTCATCCCTCGGGTGGGTTCCTCCGGGAAATTCAGTTTGTGTAATATAATGTAATATAAGCTTCCATTGTGAAACATAGTATCAGTACAGAATGCAGGTTTAGGCGCTTTGCATTTTTGCACCGCGAAGCTATCGCAATGTTTCTGTTTTATGTGATTTTTTTGTTTGTTTCCTTTGGTGTTTGGTATAGAAGTCATATCCTTTAATCCTTAAACACAGCTCTAACCATCTCTGTTTTATTTGTTTATTTTACTTTATTATTCACATTATTATCTGTGCCTGTGACTGTCCAGGCAAAGAAGAAGGCCAAGCCACCTCGGCTCGGACCACAACCCCCAGGAGAGCAGGCCAGCAACCATCCAAAACGAGCAACGCCGAGTGGGGAACGGTAGGAGGTGAATCCCCACCCCCACTCTCAATGACAGTTTCTCACAGGGACCGAGGCTCAGTGAGCCTCCAACCCAGATCTAGCTACAGACACACAGAAGCTGCACAAAGACATCCACCACACCCTGTGATTTGAGGATGGACAGGTGCTCCAACCAACCCTGGTCCCAGACAGGGTTGAAAAATGGGAAATGGAGACAGATGGACACACAGCGCGGCCATCAAATCCATGTGCATCGCCCTACGTAGCTTGTGCTCCTCCCGCTCATACCTTGTGTGTGAGTGATGTGTTTTCAGAGGAAGTGGGGAAAGGAAAGGGTTCAGGATGTTTAAGACTCCCAGAAGGAGAGAGCCAGCACAAAGAGTCATATTTCCTATATACCACCCACTGAGAGAGAACCCAGAGCCCGTGTCAGCAGCATCCCAGGCCATCGCTGCACCCAAGAACCCACAAGAAACCTAGAAGGTGGGAAAACTGACAGAATGAATGAGATGACAAAGAGAGCAGAAATGAGCTTTGTCTAAAGGGTGGCAGATCTCACCCAAAGAGGACTAGCCACCCTTCAGTCATCCAAGAGGTGCTCAGAGTAGAGCCCAAAAAACAGCTGAGGTAGTTTGGGAATCAGGGGGAGGTGTTCGGGTGCCTGGGTTTTCAGTTTTGTGTTATTTATGAACTTTGATATCATTTCTAGTCTTTGGTTTCTTTATTAGAGCTCTGTCTTCTGGTTTCTGTGTTCCACAGTTACTCCCCTGGCTGCTGTGTCCCCTTGTCAAGTCCGCGTCTCTGTGTTATGTTTCCTGTTTCACTTTGAAGTCCGTGTCTCAGGTTATTGTTGCAGGTTTTGCTTCCCCTGTCTCGTTAGCTCTGATTTGCCCCAGCTGTGTTTCCCTTCTGTCTCTCATTCACTGGCTGTGTCCGAATTCAGGGGAAGGAAGCAAGGTCCCGCGGTTTTCCATGTATTGCCGCTTACATACAGCTAATTTAGATTTTTTCGAATTGGTGATATGTTGTGGGGAACAAAGACCAAATGCTTAATTTATGAAAATGAGGAGAAAACGTTCACCTCTTCACTGGGGTGAAGAACTGGGCCGCTACGGCGTGGATGTACAAGAATAAATCACTTTACACATCATATTCATATGAGTACGGTCCCATTAACCCTCATGCTGCACAGCAGCAGTCCCCCAACCTTTGGTGCGCCACAGACTGGTTTATGTCAGACACGGAGCCTTTAAGGTGTCGCGGATAAATACAACCACATAACATGATCCGACCAAGACAAAAACTGTTGTATTTTGTAAATATAATAATAAACGTGAATGTACTGTGTAATTGTGTAACTTTATTAGCAGCGTCCTCCTGAAATGCGCCAACATTGACAGTAACATCCTCCTCTCTGCCGCTTAATGCTCTCTGGTCGCTATGGTAACGTGTAAATATGTCTTTCAAAATAAGACGCACAACTACAACAAGGGAAAAGACCCAGGGAAACCGAGTTAACAAACCCTGAAAACCATAAATTTCACAGCGGAGCCTCAACTCTCGTGGCCCGGTACCAAACGACTGTCATGGTCCTGGGTCTTTTGACCCAGCGTTTTTAGTTTGAGTTTATTTTGTTCATTAGGTTATCTAAGTTCATTTGGTTATTAGACTCCTTGTGTTTTCTTCCCCTGTATTTA